CCCCCCCCCCCCCCCCCCCCCCCCCCCCCCCCCCCCCCCGCTTCCCTCCCTGCGCTCATGTGCAGGGTGTGTGTGCCTGTGTCTAGTTTACTATGTTTTCAATTCTCTCCACGAGGAATTGGCAACTTGAGTCATCATTAGCCAGCCGTCCACACCCTTTTTCTGATTATCAGTATTCTCCAATTTGCACCATTCTTGTGTATTTCTCAAGCTTTTCTGAGTCTGAGAGGAGGATATTTTGAGTTCTTTTTCATGTCACAACTACTTCAGAATGTCTCTTGCACCATTTCCATTCCTGCTTGTTTGTTTCTTTGTGCATGCGCTTGTTTTTCAGACGTGGGATAGCGCAGTTGATGTTGATGCGGTGTGTGTTTTTACGAGTACTTGCAAAATAGCGATGGTCAACGACAGCAAAGACAAAGAGTTCTGCTCAGAAAACGAAGAATGATGTTTCCACTACCCACAGGTTTATGCTGACTTACACATACCTGTGAAGTTGTGGACATCGACTGATAATTTCAGCAGAGAGTTTGAAACCTGTGGAGTTGTGCTCATTGATTCACAATTCCAGAGTTCGATCCCCACCAAGATGGACGTACTCGTGTTAGTTTTCTTACCTATGCCTCACATCCCGCCCCCCTCCCTCCCCCCCTGCCAGTGGTTTCTTCGTTGGTTCCTTTGTCCACCTTTCCCAACAAAATTCCAATGAAGGAAAGTAAGTCATTGGACCTAAATTCACCCAATGCAAAAACATGACAGTATCTGCTATTGTCCGATTGTTTGAAGCTTTCTGTATATGCACAGTTTTCACAATTTATCGCTTTCTGTATATGCACAGTTATGAGTTTTCACAATTTATCTGGCAACATCTTGAGTGTTACTTCTGGTGGGTTGTGGTTTAGATTTGCTGATGTCTATTTTGGTTTTCATCTATCTTGTGGATTTTTTTGGTTCATATTTTGTTCCCCTCTGTTTTTGTGTGTTCTTTTTCTTTAACATGTAAGGGTTTTCTGAGCCAGGTTTGATCTTCCGTTTGAATTTCCTCTCTCGCAGATTTCTGCTCCTGGTCATCTCCCCCGTCTGAATTCCTGCTTCAGGTTTCCTATCCCTTCGGCTTATTCCAAGTAGTCATAACTGTCGTATATATCTTTTGTTCCTTCTGCATTGAGCCGATGCTCACAGAAGGTCCCTTTCCCTTCCCTGCGAAAGGTTTTTGGAAGATGAGCCCAGTAAGAGGGCACCTTCACTTGCGACCTCTCTTTTGCTTTTCTCTCTCTTCCTCTTCCTCTTCCTCGTTCTCTCGCTCTTTCTCTCTCTTTCTTTTTCTCTGTGTCTTTCTTGTTTCTCTTTCTGTTTTTTGTTCACTCTCTCTCTCTCTCTCTCTCTCTCTCTCTCTCTCTCTCTCTCTCTNTCTCTCTCTCTCTCTCTCTCTCTCTCTCTCTCTCTCTCTCTCTCTCTCTCTCTCTCTCTCTCTTTTTCTCTCTTTGTTTCTCTCTTCCTTTCTTTTCTCTCTCTCTTTTTCTCTTTTTCTCTTTTCTCTCTTTCTCTCTTTCTCTCTTTCTCTCTTTCTCTTTCTCTCTTCCTCTTTCCCTTTCTTTTTTCCTCTCTTTCCTCTCTCTCTCTTTCTCTCTTTGTCTCTTTGTCTCTTCCTCTCTTCCTGTCTTCCTGTCTTCCTCTCTTCCTCTCTTCCTCTCTTTCTGTCTTTGCTGATTTCTCCATGGCTTCTGAGGAAGAAGTTATTGCAGGTGAGGCAAAGGGAGGGATTTATGGTGCATGATGCAAAGTATAGAATACCTGGAAGGCAATTAGATGCGAATGAGTTCAAAACTTCAAACTGCCTTTGTGCTCTCTGCACTATTGTATTTGCATAAAGTTTAGAGTAGGGTCCCCCCCTTGAAATGCTCTGTACTTTTAGCCCTTTCTGATACTGTGTGTAAGTTAGGTGGAGCTTGTGTTCTGTTGCCTGGGACTCTGGGTTAATGACTGAAAAATTAAAGCATTGTGGAGGTGTTGTATCCATCTGCCTGCTTTCCTTGCGCCATCAAGTCTTGAAGTTGGGGCTTATCTTCAAAGTCACCTGGAACAGCCTTGATCATCTTGTCTCGTGTGTGTGTGTGTGTGTGTGTGTGTGTGTGTGTGTGTGTGTGTGTGTGTGCGCCATTTGTTGATTTAAATAACAGAAACGGAAGCAGATTTCACCAAAGGACTGCAGAGTATTGAAGATGGCTAAATTTGGCTCGGGGATCGGACATCATGATAAACTGTCACTTATTAGTCATGTCAAGGTTAATGCGCCTACTGCACCCATGGAGAGAGTAAGTACTTTCTTTAAAGTTTTTTAAAGTTTTTTCGAGTCTTGCTCGATTCCATTCAGCGTCTTTGGCCTTTATATGTTGCCTTCTAGGCCCAGCTCAACGATTTTGGTGCATCTGTATCCACCAACCTCTCGGAAGTCGGATTTTACCTAAAAAAAGTTTAAACAAGTCAAAAAAACTGGAAAAAAAAAAACAAGAAAAAAAACTGTCATCTCCTCGTTGGGGCACGGGTGTATTCAATACGCTATATTTCTCTTCTCTTGATATTTTTCCCACCTCACACTAGCAACCGACATACCTCGCGTTAGTTAGCTACCCACATCTCATATTTTTTCCACCTCACATTAGCTACCTATGTACCTTGCGTTATCTACCCACATGTCTAGCATGTCAGAACCAAGCATGGTGGAGCTCCATATTCATGTACCGAAGCAGGACAGATATGTCTCCCTACTCTACTCTGTGCAGGGATCGGGAGTAGTACCTAAGCTCCAAACCCTAGCGAGGGATGTGCAAGATGCTGGAGTCCTGCCGAGACCAGCCAGGGGAGGCAGGTTGGGAAAGGCTGGCATGGATGACGCGAAAGCTCGGTGGTTTATCGGATGTTCAGAGACGTTTGACATATAGGAGGGATGAAAATGGGGGTAAAGAAGACGAGGAGGGATGGAAACAAGAGGATGGCCAGAGAAGGTCGACTTATAGAGTGGATTTGGCACTCAGGCCGGCCAGACGTGTCCGCCGCTGCTATCCTTCGCACGTTTTCTCCGAATGTTCTTGGGGATAAACTCAGGTTAGGTTGGAACGGCAATGTGACGGGCGACCATCTCGCATACTACTTCATGAATATGGTTCAGATCCGCATTTCCACGTGGACTGAAAATTGCGCAGGTGCTGTCCCCCTACGAATGCCCTCGTGGATCCCACACAGGAATAAATTTTGTGATTTGCAGTCCCCTAGACAAAGGAGATGCCAGGGATAGAGAACTTGTGAAGGATAGCGGCAACGGACACATTTGGCCGGCCTGAGTGTCAAATACACTCTGCGGATTGCGTGCTTGCTGCACAGGTGTAGGGATTCCCTTCGTCTTCTTCTCTCCCATTCCCATCTCTCCTATAACTCAACCTTCTCTGGCCATCCTCTCCACCACCCAGCTTTTGCATCACCCATGCCACCCATTCCCAGGCGGAACCCCGGGCCCACTACACCCGAGTTGTCCCATTTTTGTCATCTGTCGTCTGCATTTCTGTGCAGGCACTTTCAGCCTGGGTATCCGCTGGAACTGTGCGGGTTTTGCCCGTACTGTCCGGATTGCTGCTATGATGTGGAGTGATGCAGAGTGGAAACAATGCTTGCTGTGGAGTGATGCCAAGTGGAAACAAAGGGGCAAAAGAAAGGATAAAGACAACACAGCAGAGAGGAACAAGAAAACAGGGGTCTGCCCCTGCTTGAGTGGGGGCTTATATCTTGCTGATTTGCAAAACAACCGGGCCGATGCTCCCCAGAATAGACTGGAGCCAGGACAATTAGACCCTGTTTTTTTCCCTTTTTCTTTTAGATGAAAAAATTTTCTTTTAGAAGAAAAGAAAAGAAGACAACAGTAAATGGAAAACACAGTCTCAGTGTGCCTTTTTGTTCTTCTTACCTTCTGTCCTCCCTTTTTTGCACAATATTTCCACAGTTGTTTTGTCAATGTGCGGTCTTCTTGCTCGCTTTGTCGGACTTGTCAATGAGCGAGTCTATCATTAGAAAAGGCGTACAGTTTCTCGAGGTTGTGATTCTTGTGAATGCGACGGTCACTGCCAGAGTCACTACAATGTACTGTCCGCTGCAGCCAGTATGTGCAGAGGAATGCTCCTCTTCCCAATTCTATACAGTGCTATACACCCTCTGCACTCAGATATAACATGTTCGCTTAGCGATCAACAACACAGCGCTGCTTGCATGCTCACCTGCAGGGCACCTTGTTTGGTTCCTTGAACCACCAGCACATCGCCCAGGCAAACTTGAGAATCGAAATCGAGCCAATCCGAAAACATCTGCGAGGCTTGGAGGCACTGGACCAAAATTTGCTAGTGGCGCCAGCCAAAAGAAAAGGAAAAGCACTGTGGTCGTGTTTCGCCAAAGCTTGGTGTGCATTGGGAATCCACCTTGGGAAAAAGAGGCTTTGTTGTACTGGTGGCTTAAACTTGAAACTCTTTTGTTGTGCCCTGCTATCGACATGCTATCTGTAGTGACTGTTTTGTGGGTTTGGTTACTACCTGCCGCCACCGTAACCTTGCTTTTGGTATCCCCTATTCGATTTGCCTGGTCATTGTTGTACTTACTGTGCCTTCTGTCCCCGTTGGCCCTTTTTTTTTTTTCCCCTCCCGTTTTCCCTCCTAAGCATCCTGTAATAGCAGAGATGGGTGTGTCGGTGGTCCGCCTTGGAGTGACCAGGTTAAGTAGCGGTGGTGGGGCTGCATGTTGTCCGAGCGGAGTGTGTTGATTGCCGTGTCCATGTTGTGTGTGTGGTGTGAGTTCAAGGACGCTACAGCCCTGGAGGTGGGCTGGATATCATCATATCACGGCACCTCCAAGGGTTGTAGTGGTTACAGGAGTTCGTTCTTGAGGCTGAGGGTGCCGGTTCGAGGCCCTGCGTGCATGGCGGGCCCTCATGCCCTAAACGCATGCTGTTCAGTAACAGTGCAATTGCAATCTACATTTTCAGTCCTCCTTGCATCCATCCTTCCTATTTTTTTGCTATGTTAAAGTATGTTTTGCCAAACTTTTGCACATTTGTTTGGTAATTCAGCTGTGTGTGACAGTTTGGATATAGAGTCTGGACTTTCGAGTACCGATCAAGATTGTGGTAGGTGTCGGTTTGTGGCTTACAGTAGTGTAACAGTGTACAGTCTAGACAAAGTATCTCATTAAAGAACCAGTACATGGGCACCTGGACCGCAGGCCTGACGTATCGAATTCTGGAAGCGCGAAACGAAAACGCGACGGCCAGTCCAATTTATCAATGGCAGGCCCAGCGTTTGACGTTTTGGCCGCGTTTTCTTGTGGCGACAAGTTTCGGAGTGCAAGGCTGGGGCCATGTACTAGTGGGTTTAAACTGGATGTAGCTCATGATAGAGCCTCAGGAGTGCTAACTCCTTCAAAATTTGGTGTACTCAGTACGGAAAAATAGAGTTGAGGGCATTTAGGCTGTGGTGTAGACCTGTGTGTGGCGGAGATACTATTATATTCTAAAGGGACAACCTATTGAGAAATTTTGGGCCTATACTGGCTGTTCTTGTGGGTGGGCCGGGTTGGAATGGGTGCGGTATGCTCCCTGGGACTTCATCAGGAAGGTGGTGATGGATCACATGTGCAGCAGCCCCTATCCGCTGAATGTTACTCTCATGACCTGAATGTGATTCGTGATTTAGCCTCCATCGAATGCAAACCTGAGAGTGGGAACGATCCATCCCCGGCTGTGGTGCCAGCAACAAGTGGTGTGCCGCGCCGCAAGCATCATCGGCCCTGGACGCTGAAGGAGGTGATGACGCTCATTGAAGGCGTTGCCCGCTGCGGTGGTGGTAAATGGGCCGATATCAAGAAGCTTGCCTTCTCCTCGGTTGGTCATCGAACGGCTGTTGACTTGAAGGTTAGACCACATGTGAATTCTCTCTCCCCTTTTCAGACGGTTGCCTGTTTTCTTTTCATGTAAGGCTGCGCTCAATTGAGGAAGGGGACTGTTGTCTTGCTGCTGCTCTCTGGTGAGGTGGGGACCATGTGCTATTCGATTTGTGTAAGCCGATGGTTGCGTGTCGCCATTGGGTTTCTTGTTGCTGTTCAGTTCCTCCATCCCTTTCCGTCACCTTTGCATCCGGTATGTGGTCTTTCTATCTGGATGTGTACATGTGTAACCCTCGAGACCTGTGTGAAACCATCCTGCATGTCTTCACAGATCAGGTTTTCAATGCATAAGATGCAAGTCTATAGTTTCAACGAATGTGGGTGTGTATCGGGACCAGGTTCTTGTGGATACGGTGAGCACGCATAACGTACATGCGCCTCGTGTTCCGCGTACTTGACAACTTACTGACACAAGGAGTGTCAGTAGGTAGGTAGTTGATCTTGACATTGGATTGTCCTTGTTGATTTCTGCCGATGGCGTGCATGGACACTTACCGAAGGTGTTGTGTAGATCGAGACTGGTACTCTTCTGTGAAATTGAAAAGAAATGTGCTAGCCAGATTCTAATGGAATGCACTTTGTTATGTACGTCTCTCTGCGTCTGCATGCAGGATAAGTGGAGGAACTTACTGCGAGCAAGCCGGCTGCCTCCCCAGTCTGGACGTCAGGTACACCTCATTATTACCTATCCACATGTGAACCTGCCAGTGACTCTCGACCCTGAGTGGGTGTACATCTGATTATCTCGATATGTTTTCGGGAGCAACCCATGTGGGGTAACTCATGTTACACTGTTACAGTGCATTCTTGGTGAGGCTCATGCTAATTGAACTCAAGTGCAGCCCAAGAGGGTTATAAATTTTGTTTGCAGCTATGATCCAACAGATATTGATTGATGGAAGAAAATGCGGATGTGTCATGTTATAAATTTTGTTTGCAGCTATGATCCAACCACTTCCACACTCTGGTGTTCTTTTTATTGTGCGTGTGTTTGTGCTGAAAACCGGGTTCAGCAGCCCACTCAAATGCTACTTCTAGAGCACCCTCTGTGATAAATTAGGAGGGCCCCAAAGGGGGAATTACTAACAACAGTTCCAACCAAGGCTGGGCCGGCAACCGGCCGGTTCAGCTCTCCTGTTCCAACCAGTCCCGGACGAGCCCCGGGGGGGTGAAAAAAAACGGGAAACCGGTTATGAAAAATAAAAAAGTCCAAAATTTTACCTTTTTTTTTTTGGGGGGGGGCGGATTCTGACTGCGCTCTTCGAGATCTGTCGAAATCCGCAGTAAAATTTTGAAGGTGCAATTTTTTTTTTTTTGGGGGGGGKGTCGTGCGGGATTTGGGGGGGGTATGATTGCGATGTTCAGGAGTTATGGCTTTCAGATGGAGGGGTCATTTACACAAGCTTTACTTATCTGACGCCCCCATGGCCCAAAAGTTTCAGTTCAGCACCATAGAGTATCGTGGACTCTGCTATCAGATATTGGCACCCCGGAGGCTGAACAAGATATGAAAAAGGATGGTCCTTGCCAGAACTTACAGCTCTTCCATAGTATAGCTCGGCAGCAAAAGAAGTTACGGGATCAGGTTTCAGCTCGCGTAGGCAGAACGTTTTCTGTTTGTTTTTTTCTACATGCGGTGGGTCATCAGTCTAGAAGTACCTTGCCTGGCAGTCTGTCCAGATACATGTAGTAGAGAGAGGGCCATTCTTGGGCTTGCACCTCGGACAGCATTGTTACTCTCTTCACGAGCCGAAACCCAAACCCATAACTGTTCCCCAGAACATAGGGACGTTGCAGAAACATATAAGCTTATTAGCAAAGTCAGCACGTTGGTTTCCTCCTGGCTCAAGAGGGATGAGTGTCAAGGCCTACCAGTTTCATCTGGTCTGTGGTCCGTCAGACCACACAATGACAAATTGAAAAACGGGGCCTATTGGACCCCGAATCGTGAAAAGCACGCGTGGTGGTTCTCCGCCGCGGATCAGCTGCGGAGATCCTACGCCTGTTCTTTCTAGAAGTGGGGTCCAAAGACTCCAAAGGGCCCTGATTTTTAAAATTTTAATGAGGCAGCAGCCTCCCGGGGGCTGGGCAATCGCAGGCATGCCCGTGACTCCTCGGTACTTCCCACCGCCAATGGGATGCGCTGGGTTCGACCGGGGGTCTGCCAGGCCGGTCGACCGCACAGTCCGACTGGCAGGCTCCCTGTCCGGGGAGGGGCCCTTTGTAACGATCGTGAGGCTGAGGGTGAGCCGAGGGAGACGAGAGTGAGAGCACACACACACACTCACTCACTCGACACCACGGACTCGGACTGAGGATCGGACGCAGACACAGTGGCAAGGCACAAAGTCGAAGTCTTGGATTCCCGAATGCCGAAAACAGCAAGTCACACTGAGTACGAGTACAGGAGCAGAGAACTGGTACGAGACTGGTCCCCGTACCGTACGGGGAGCCGGTATAAGTACCGGTGACACGTACGGTACTAGGGGCATTTCTGCAAAGGCCCCGAGGGCAGAACTGAAAAATGCAGTATTTGAAAGTGGCGCCCGAATTGCAGCATGGCGCCAGTTGTCCAAAATCCTACGGTACCAAAGGAGGGGTTTGGAAAAAGGGTGCCAGGCCGAAAACGGGATGCAGC